TCAAACGAAGGTGTGATTTGAGCGCACAAGCGCCCATGATGAGATCCACACCACACACTTCACAAGTTCACACTTCACATCACACACCACAAGCACAGACTTCAGCGCTTCAGCACTTCAGCTCACTCATTACGCAAACGAGCACTCGTCTCCCTCGCCTGCACCCTCCCCCCTTTCCTCCTCCGTGCCCTGCTCTCCCCTCTGTCTCAATTGCTGCGCTCGCGGCGTGAAAGTAAAGACACCGCTGCTGTTGTTGCTCGCGCTGCCGCCACTTTGAAGCGTGAACACCCGCCGTGGCGACAACAGATGCCGCTGCTGCTGCTGGTGATGGTGGTGGTGGTGGTGGTGGTGGTGACGATGATGATGCTCATTGTGGTGGCTGTCGTAGTTGGCGAGGGTGGCGAGGTTGGTAGCTGCTGAGGACGCGAACGACGATGGTGAGGGATACGGATAAGACGCCGTACCGTGCGCTGTCGTCGTCGTCGTCGTTGAAAGCGAGCACATGTGGTGTGCTGTTGACGGGGCGGACGATACCACCAACCTTGCATCAGATGACTCAACATCAACGGCAGGCCGCGTCAGATCAAGGAACAGGTCATCCTCATCATCGCCTACACCATCTTGCACAAACGCAAAATCAAGCACTTGCGGGGTCTCGCGCCGCACCTCGCCACCGTCCAGCACCAGTTGCTGCGCATCAACACAGGGCGCTGTTGCTGTTGTTGGTATTGGTGTTGTTGGTGTTGCTGTTACTCTTGCTGCTGTTATTGGTGTTGCTGTTGTTGGTGCTGCTGTTGTTGGTGTTGCTGTTGCTGCTGCTGTTGGCAGTGCGCCCTCATGCAACAATGAGCTCAAGGGAGCGACATCAAGGCTGTCACCCTCGTCCCCGCCATCATCATCAATACCGCCGCCGCCATCACACTTGTGATGGTTGTCATCCCGTGTATGCAGCGCAATGCCGCTGTCAGGGTTGGCTGCTTTGCCAGTGGCCTCGTCAGCCGAGGACACATGCAGCGAAGGAATCGTAAACGGCAGCAGGGGCAGCGTCTCAAACGCACTCTCGCCAGCGTTGTGGTGATGCCGCTGAATGCTGGCGCTGAAACCGTTGTGGGCGTGGTGGCTGCTGCTGCAGCTGCCGTTGCTGTTTCCATTGTGATGGCTGCTGCTACCGTTGCTTTCAGCGTTGTGGTTGCTGGTGTGCTCGTGCGGTAAATGGGCGGAGTTACCACCATCCCCTGCTTTTGACATGGATGCCATTATTGTTGTGTTCACTCCGTTGCTCAGCACGCCACTTTCCCCAATGCCCAACGCAGCAATGCGCTGTCTCAGCTCTCCGCTGCCAAGCCCACGACCAGCCATCATGGCCAAGTCGCCAAAGCTGTGGCGGCTGGACCGCCGGCTGTCGCACGGCGTATTCGTGGTGCCGCCACTGCTGGCACCTCTGCTGCCGTCGCTGCTGCGGACACTGACGCTGCGGCTCACACTCGTCGACCGCCCGCCGCGCGACAGTGACCGTGACGATGGCGACGCTGCAACCACACCCTGCGACACACACAGCCGGCTTCCACTCAGCCCGCCGCTGCTACAGCTGCTGCTCAACGCATGCCGCGCCCTCCTACGCGATGAACGCGCACTACTGCTGCTGTTGCTGCCGCTGCCTTGTATGGTGGTGGCTGGCCACCCGACGCTTCCTCTCCCATGCACGGCCTCACCTCTGTCACAACTGCGTCCACTGCTGTTGCAGCCACTGCCGCTTATTGTTGTTGCTGCTGCTGCTGCTGTTGTTGTTGCTGCTGTTGCTGCTGTTCTTGTTGCTGCTGCTGTTGTTGCTGCTGCTGTTCTTGTACTGACCCCAACACCAACAACGCGAACGCCTCGCCCGACATCACCAGCGCCATCGCCGTCGTCGTCAGTGTCGCTGCCGCATGTGCTGGTGCAGTGCAGCGTGTGCGCGGCCGGCGTTGCGCAGCCAGCAAACGTGGCTCGCCGTCGCGCGGCAAACGGGGGGCGCCCGGGCCCGCTGTAGCTCGTAAACGCCGATCGCGCCCCTCCCAATCCCCGCCCCTCAGACGACTCGTCGGCGCTGGCGTCGTCGTTGCTGTTCACCCCGTCCAACACAACGGGGGCAGACCGGCGACGTTGTCCGCTAGACCATGATGACACATGCAGCTGGTCCGCACGGAGGTGGCGGTGGCGGTGGCGGTGGTGGCGCTCACGGGCACGCGCAACAGATGACCGCACGCCAGACGACGATGACGACACTGCTGTTGCTCCACACTCACGCACGTGCGCACGATGGTGGGAAGAAGGTGAATGTGCCTGTAGCTGCTCCTCGTGTGGCGTTCTCTCAGCTGCCAACAATGACACCGTGCCGTCACCGTCACCGCGCACGTAACTGCTGCTGCTGCTGCTGCGGATCACACGGCCACTGCCATGGGTCCTCAGCAACCCAACACCACCAACACCACCAACACCAACAAGACCATCAACAACACCATTACGACGCGGCGAGTGCGGCGAGTGCGGCGATACCGGTGATTGTGGTTCCTGGACACCTGCGCTTCTCCTGTATACATCTGGGGATCCTTGACTGGTGTGCCGCAAAGTGTCCTGACTGGCCCGTTCGCCAGGTCTTGAACGCCGGCACCTCCTCCTCCCTTTCTTCCTTCTCTTTCTCCTCCTCCTCCTTCTTGACGTCCACGGCTGTGCAGCCCCTTCCTGGTTCACCTCTTCCTGCTTGTCTAGTGTAGTCTCCGTCTTAATCCTTCGTCGCACCCGTCCCTCTCCACGCCCCTCGCGCAGCAGGTGGTCCATGCTCCTGTACCTGCTGCTGAACTCACTCCTCCCGCCCCTCGTGCACGCACTGCGGCTGCGACGGGAGTGCAGGCTGTCTCCCTCGTCAGCAACTCTTGCCTGCGGTCCCATGCGAGGCGACGACGCTGCCGTGGCCATCGGCGTCACAGGGGCTGTGTTGGCGCGCGATGGCGCAGGTGAGTAGTCCGTGGACAGCAGCGCCATGTAAATGGGTAAGGCCTCAAACGCGTGCTCGTGCACCCGCACAGGGTTGCGCTTCTCCGCTTCCGTCTGCGTGCCAACCACGCTCTTGCTGCCGTCTCGCTGTTGATACTGGACATCATAATCATGCTGGTGTGAAGCATGCCCATGATGGTGGCGGTGGTGGTGATGGTGGTGGTGATGCTCTCCACTTGCTGCTGCTGCTGCTGTTGCCGTTGTGGATGGTATTGCCGCAATTGTTGGTGCTGTTGGTGTGGTTGCTGCGAGTGCTGATGTTGGTGTGGATATTGTTGTGTTGGCATGATGGTGGCTGTTGTAAGTGTGGGGTTGGTGATGGTCATAAACAACCCCAGTCGAAGCAAGCGAGGGTCCGTAATTGCTTTGGCTGTGATGCCGCTCCTTGGTCTCTTCCACCGTCGGCACTTGCTGCTGCCGTTGGCTCAGTTGCTTCGTGTCGCCGATGCCGCTGCTTCCACTACTGGAGCAGCTGCTGGCCGTGGTGCTTGCGAACACGTGCGATTGGTGTTGCCCAGCCACACCGGCGTCGATGTCCTCATCATCGGTGCTGCTGACATCAACGATGGTGCCCCGACCAGCGCTACCGTGGCTGACGGCCTTCGTGGCGTGCATGGTTGCCAGCCGCGTTGTAGGTGCGTGTGCAAATTCAGGCTCCTCTGCCACGTCCCACATTTTCCGCATGTTCACACTTCTTTCCACAAATACGTCCGTCTCCTCCTCCTCTTCCACCTCTACCTCCACCTCGCCGCGCTGCCCGCGCAACAATGTGTCATCAATCTCCGTCAACGAGAAATCGCCCTCGCTGTCCAGTGACCCCTGCCGCCAGAACCGTCGACCACCACCACCACCACCACCACCACCACCGCCGCCGCCGATGCTGCCACGGCTTCTGGGTCGCTGCCGCTGCTGCCTGAACGACGCATTGAAGGTGTGCTCTGAGCGACGGCGGTGGCGTGCTGCCTCTGCACGTGTGGATCCGTGTGCAGACGATGGCCGCGATGACGGTGCGGGCGGTGGTCGCGGGCGGGACGACGAGCCACGCCGCTCGCCGTCGTAGTGGGACTCTTCCCCGAAATCGTCACTCACCACGCTTTGGCGACCCATGCTGTGTGCACGTGCTGACGCGCCCGTGCTGCTGCTCCTCCAACCAACACCACAAACGCCAGCGCCGCCACCCGTGCCTGCGTCACTCTCCCGCCTGTGCCGCTGCCATGCATGCTGGCGTCCAAATCGGCGCAGCGTTCGTGTGTCGGCAACAGATGCGCGGCGGAGCGGCGCGAGGTGCTCGTGCCCATCGCTGCGCCAGACAGAGGCGCCGCCTGTTGCACGTGCACGGGTACATGATGTCAACGAGCAAATTGGGGGGGGGGGACGGGGAGTGTGTTGGCATGTATTTTCGTGGTCGCATGTTCGCTTCGTGTCGCTTGTGCATGTGTGCATGACGTGTGTACATGGCCACGAATATGTGATGGATCACTTGGTACTCACGCGAGAAGACGGGAAACACGAGCTTGGACTGTGTCCTCTCGATGGAGTTCATGCTACAGAGGAGTGGACAGAGGTGGACATGTGCTGGTTAGTAGCGAACAAACAGGCAAGCAGCAACTAGGCCAAGCATGTATGCATGCAAGCACGTTCCGTCTCACAGGAGTAGAAGTAACACACACACGCACAAACATACACACAAACATACACACGGTGTGACTGACTGGTAGTGTTGGATGAGGTCCTCAATCACGTCAAACTCGCGATCAGCGTAGATGTAAAACTACGGAGGCGAGAAGAGTGGACATTGGACCACAGGGCGGTACAGTACGGTGTGAGTGTTGTCGTCGTGGCCACAGCCGTGCAGACTGTAAACGTGCTATTCATGGGTGTGTGTACCACTGGCATGCCATGACACACATGCACGTACTCGTACACGCACACGCAAACACACGTGCAAAGCACATGTGTGGAGTAAACAAATAACTCCGCTTCAGGCCTTCACACGTGCGCATTAACCAACCCTGTCCCTGTCAGCGACGTGGTACACTTTGAAGTGTTGCACGGTCTCGTGCCACTTGACCCCAAGACGATATCCGCTCGGATGCAACTCCTCATAGTCCACCCCTGTGCGCAACAGAAACGTGCCTGTGTGGGCAAACAGCGACAAGCGTTGTGAGGTGCAAAGTGGCCGTGCTTGTGGCACGGGGCTTGAACGATGGACTGGTTTCATGTAACTGTACCACTGCACCACTGTACCACTGCATCACGGGCATAGAGACCAGCGAGAGGAAACAAACATGCTTGTAGTTGTGGGTTGACATCTCCGCATGCACATGCCCCAACCCTGACACACGCACGTAGTGTTTGTAACGCACCCGTTGGACAAGACTGCAACAGTGCCGTTGACTCCTCCTTGTCGGATACGCCCACGTAATAGTCTTGCCATAACACACGGTCGATGTTCCAGTACACATCTTCATGGCAGCGGCATCATGAACAGGCAGTGAGGGCAGCGAGCCAATGGGAAAGGAAGTGGCCTCGACACTTTTGCACGAGACATTGTGGTGCATGCTTGTGTGCCATGTGTGTGTACGTGTGTCATGTGTGTCATGTGTGTGTGTGTGTAACGTGTATGTGTGTGTAATGTGTGTGTGCGTGTCGTGTGTAATGTGTGTGTGTATATGTGCGCAACGTATGCACATAATGTGTATGTGCGCGCAACGTGTGCACAAAATATGTGTGCTGCAATAACTGGCGCAAAGGGTTGTTCAGCCTCACCATTGCGTGATGCCAGCGACAGGCTGTCGTCGTCTCTGCTCGGGTGCAGCAAAAGCCCGGGCGACGAGAATCGGCGTGGAAGGCTCCTGGAAACGACAAACATAACGTGTGGCACACACAGGGATTGTGAGTACATGGGTGCACACGTGTACTGATGTGCGCCGTGCGCATGCAATTCGGAAGAGACATTTTCACAAACACACACACGAGCACACGCACACGCACACAAACACGCACACGCATGCGCACATACATACAAACACGCACGCACACATACATACAAACACGCACGCACACACATGCACACATGAACACGAGGGAAACACGGCAATAGCGACAGTCAGAACAGAGCTCACGCACGCTTGCTGATGTCTGCGATGGTGGGGCAATTGGGGGTTGTGGTGTTGATGTAGGTGTACGTGCGGACGTGGGCGTGGCAGTACCCGGTCAAGACTGTTCATGGAGTTCTGTTAAAACAGGGAGCAAGCAGTGCAGCCAAGTCGACACGACAACAGCAAGAACCACAGCACTCGTCACTTGTCAGAAAAAACAGAAGCATCGAGCACTCCAAACACGAGCATGCTTACGTGCACACACACGCGCGCGCACCATCATGCACACACATGCACACACATGCACACACACGTCTGATATGTTCACAGTCACATACACACAACACGCCACGTTCATGCCCCCCCTGCCACCGGAACCAACCTGACGCAGGTTGTTAAAAATGATCTGTTGTCCCTCTGTCGATAGACTTGAGTCACGCCCGCTGCGCCCATCTTCACTCAAACTCCGTGCGCTTGCGTGCTGTGTGGTACCATCGGTTCGGTTGGCCTGTCGAAACACGCGGTCGTCTACAAGCCCCCCCCCCACACGCGCGCGCGCACACACACACACACACGCGTGCACAGGACGGCTGAGTAAGTATGCACACATACGCCACCAATACCAGCGACACTGTACACCTTTGGGACCACTGTTGCGCTTCCACACATAAACGCGTACGAAACGAACATATGCACACACATATGTCACCGCAGTGCCACGTCCAGCCACACACGAACACACGAACACACGAACGCACGAACGCACGAGTGTGCAGAAGAAGAGAAGTCAAATACGCTTACAGTGGCGGTGGTCGACGAGCCCAAGTTTCACATGCTGCCCTCTCGCCGAGTCCAGCTGTGCCTGTATCATCTACATGTCCACAGCACAGCGCAACGAGAGCAATCACGCGCAGATACGCAACACGCACCCAATGTGCAGACGACACGCGCACGTGAATGGAACCCCGAACACCACAAGAAGAAGCATGTGGGCATGTGTGTGCCACCCACAGCCACGTTACGCTTTGAATGCCATGCCTTCACATTGCACATTCAAACAGCGCGTGCAGCACTGACCGCAACGGTGAAGGAGCGAACATCTTTTCCGGCCACGGTCGCCACAAGCTTTCCTTCGTAGTGACGCAGGTGTGGGTGGCAGTTCTTCAAAAACACCCCTATCAACACATGTGTGACGATGTGTGTACATGTGGGTATGTGAGCATGTGTGTGCATGTGAGCGTGTGGGTGTTGGTATCAACCAGACTCATCGTGAGCCGCGTCGGAGTAACAAGTACCCTTCTGCAAAAGGACTTACAAGCAACTGTTTCGCAAATACGCACGTACATTCGGAAACACCCACTACACGTGCTCCGGGTGCATGCCATTCACCACACACACACACGCACACACACACACACATACGCACACACACACACATACACATACACACACACTCGCCGCCTTCCGTACCAAAATCATCCGAGTTAACATCGCCGAATGCGTTGAGCTCAAACCCAAATGCTCCGTCGACACGGGTCATTGTCGCTTCCTCCACATACTGTGTGGATGTTAGCAAGTAGCAGCGTCATGTGAGCAGGTGAGATGTGGCATGGGTGCTTTCTGTCCCTTGCATTGTCGCCCACCAATGACCAACCTACCAACGCTTCGGATTCACAGACGCATGTGCAAATGTACACGCACAACCTCACGCACATATAAGTCCCTCACATTCACTCACATGCACACATAAGTCCCTCGCCTTCACTCACACATGCACAAACCAACACACACACACACAGACACATACACTGTCTCTCCCTCGACTGGACACACGTCTTTGTAGTCGGTGGCGTCATGGCTTGTCTGGCGCCGTCTGTGGCGTCCTCGCTGAAAGAAATCACGCACTCGAGACAGAAACGAACGTCTCCTCTGCCGCCTGCATAAGGGCATGCAGAGATAGTCACGTATGTGTGCACATTAGCATGGACAAGCAAATAAGCAACCAAGCATGAGAATTGACACCTCCATGAGCACACACACACACACACGTGTCAATAGGTAAATGCACACACAAGCACACTCGTACATTCACGCTGCTCATTCATTTCACATTCACTATCACCACCATCACACACCACCACACAAACCATCAGTTGTGCTTACCCTCGGTCTCCCCCGGCAGTCATAGTGAAAAGCTAGACCTAAAGCCCCTTAGTGCCGTGCCATGGGCATGCGAATCACCTGCTGCGCTGCAGGAAGGGTAAATGAAATTGACACAAACAAGGAAGAACCGCCACAAACGCTCTTGGTCGGTACAGGCATGCAGCGTGTGGCAACGGCAACTACACCCTCACATATCTCCCATCTCAGATGAAAATGACAAAGGCAGGGGACGGCAACAAAGAAAGAAAAACAAAGAGAAACCTTCGCACACGCCAGATGTGACTGACGTATCTGGTGTGGAGACGGGTCGTACGGTTGGGACCATGCGAAATACAGCAACGATATCAAACGAGTTTCTCTGTTGGTGCGTTTAATCCAAGAAGGAGCCACAGCACGCGCAAGAACAAAGGACATCAGCAAAAACGCAACACACTTGAGCTATGTCATCATTTCATGTCACATTGTCATGTCACATCCCTGTGTCACATGGTCAAGTAACAAAGGCAAGCACGGCGCGTGTTGTTCATGATGCAGACTGTCATCAAGAGATGAAGGAACAACCACATGTGCGTCCCACTGCATGAGAAAGTGGCATGTGATACGTCACACTTCCACACACGAACAAAGAACAGCAAGCACACGTGCCAACACCTGACATGCGAACATAACGCAAACAAACGGCAGACGCAGTGCGCCACCGCGTCACGTCATGTCATGTCATGTCATGTCACAGCACACTGGTTCCCGTGATGCACGGCGCGATCCACTGGACATGCCGCGGGTTGTTGCAGGGCTATGCGGATTGCAGGTCGGCAATGAGTTTCTTGAGGATGGTGCGATGTCCAATGGACGTCACCCCCAAGCCCTTGAGCGCTTCCGTGCTGTCGCACTGCAGCAACTTTGGCCCGTCAATGCCCTGGCATGGCGAGTGAATGGCGGTGAGTGCACGCAGTAGAGTAGGGAGAAGTGATGTGAGCAATGCAATGAGTGAAACCACGACAGCCCCGACAAAGAACGAGTGCGCGTGTGCGCATGAAAACAAAATGACAACAAAGAGCCACGTGGTGTCAGGCGAACATGCACATGTATGCAACACTTTGATCATCTTGAATGCAGTGCACGAAATAGAGGGTTGCGACAACAACAGAACAAACACAGGGACAGTCACTAGAGAAAGAACACAGGGACGGGAAAATCACCAATCAAGACAAAGAGGCAGCAGCGCAAGTGCAGCTAGCGCACACAGACACCGCCTGCCGCGCTCACACGCGAACGCACGAACAAAGACAAGCCGCCAACAAAGAACACATTTTTGTGCCATGGCCTCGCCACATTTCAGTGTTGTAGTCACATCACCGCCCGTACCTGTTCTCTGAATGAGTCGGCGTACTTTGCAAAGTCACCGTTCTGTGCCTTGCTCAACCACGCGCACACCTCCGCAACACGCCACATGTCCACGTCCTTGCTCGTATCAACGTCACTATCGCCACCTGGACCGCTCGAGACTTGCTCTGGTATCGTCGCCGTTGTCGTTGCTGCTGCTGTGGGTTGCGTTGCCTTCTTCATGGACGGGGAGGTGGGGGAATCGGCCACTTTGTCGCTGCTACTGTCACTGAGGTCCACAGAGCTGAGCCGTCGACTCAGGCGTCGCAGGCTCTTCCCAATCGAAAACTTGACACCACGCCGCTTCACCACACCTGGGTCATCTGTCTTTGCGCTGCTCGCACCACCCTCCTCGCTGCTGCCATTTGCTTCGCTGCCTGTCTCCGCCTCCTTCGCTCGACCGTGCGGCTGTGGCTTTGGTCGTGGCGGCGGCTTTGCTGGTGCCGATGCTGTTGCTGTTGCTGTTGCTGGCTTGGTGATGGGTCTTCCTGGTGGGGCTGGTGGCTTGGCCGACGATGAAGGCAGTGGCTTGACAGCTGGCGATGCAGGGAGCGTGCCACGCTTCATGCTCACCCCAACACCACCACCATCACCACCACCATCATCATCACCATCACCACCGCCACGGCTAGCATCATGACCAGCACCGCCAGCAGCCTTCATCCTTGCCCTCGCTGTAGCTGTTGCCGTTGTTGCTGCGCGGGGCCGGGGCGCGGGCTTGGCGCCACCAGCCATCGTCGCCGTTCGTGCCCGCTGCGCGCGTGTTGGCAGTCGCCGCTTCACAAGAGCACGCGAGGCGGACATGGCGCGTGATCGCTGCGCCCGCACGTCAAGCGTGTCGCTGGCGCTGCTGGAGATGGTTTCAAACGCGTCAGACACGCTTTCTGCGTCGTCACCATGCTCACCAGCAGCTGCTGGCAAGGGTTTGGCCACCATCTTGGCTGGCAGCGTGTGTGTGCGTGGGCGTGGCTTCGGGCGAGCGGCCGGCACAGGCTTTGCTGCGGTTGTCCCTGCTGTTGCTGTTGCTGTTGCTGTTGCTGTTGCTGCTGCTGTTGCTGCTGACGATGATGATGTTGATGTTGACGATGCTGACGATGGCAGTGGTGGCTTTGGCTTTGGCTTGGGGCGGGGAGGGGGTGCGTGGAGGGTTGCAGCACGCTGCCTATTCCTCATGGCCTGCTCCTCTGCATCTGGCCGAGTTCGCGTCGCTGCTGCACTTGATGGATTCGACACAAACGACGGCGCCTTGGCCACCACTGGCGGTGCTGATGATGAGATCTGCTTTGATGATGGTGCTGCCGTTGCTGTAGTCAATGGCCTTGATGCAGTTGCTGCCGCTGCCGCTGCTGTTGTTGATGCAGGCGTTGGTTTCAATTCTGTTGATGATGCTGATGCTGCTGGCGGTGCCGCTGGTCTGGCCGGCGTCACCTTCCTGCTGTCAACCTCTCTCAGCTTGGCCTCCAGGGCGTGGCGCTCCCTCTGCTCCTCCTGCAGCGCCCGTCGTAAGCGATCAATCTCCACTCTGTCTCCATGCGCATCCGCACCTCCTCTCTCATTCCCGCCATCACCGAGGTGGGGTGTTTGCGTTGATGCTGGTGATGGTGGAACCCCAGCTGCTGTCTTCGTCTTTGTCTTCATCATCGCCGTGTCACTGCCGCCCTTGGTGCCGCTCGTCAGTAGTTGCAGTCGCTTCACCTCCTTGTCCCTTGTCGCCACCTGCTGTTTCAGTGCTGCAACCTCTCTCACCAGCGCGGCAACGCGTGCCTCCGCCTCCTGTGCGCGTGTCGTCATGGTGGCGAGTGACACACCCTTTTCCCTCAGTTGTTCTTCTGCGTCCCGCCGTTTGCTTTGCTCCTCCTCCACCAGTGCCTGCGCACGTGCCAGCTCCTGCTGTGTCGCCGTGAGGGCCTGCGCTTTCTCGTCCACTGCCCGCCCCGCGTTTGTCGCTGCTGTTTCCAACACCTTCACCTTGGCCCGAAGCGACTCAACCTCAGCACGCAAAGTGGCAACGTCGCTGTGACCATCACCACTATCATCACGTGTTGCTGTTTTTGTTGTTGCAGTTGTTGCTGTTGTCGCTGTGCGCGTGGGGGCTGGTTTGGCGCCGCTGCGTTTGCGTGCAAGCACAACCAGAACACGCCCCTCACACGACTGCAGCAGGGTGACGGCACGCTCGTGTGTCGTTGCCAGCAGCTGCTCATCGCCGATGCTCACGAGAATGTCGCCAACACGCACGTTGCCGTTGTCGTACGCCGCACCGCCCTCCACCACACTCGACACAGTCATGGTCACAAACACGCCGCGCGACGCTGCTGACGTCAGCAAGTCGTGGTCGTCATCCGTGTCGTCATCAAGATGCGTCACTTGCAGCTGCTCGCCACGAAGACCAACGCCGACACCCTGGTCATCCTGCAACACGAGCGTGGTCGTGATGATGTCGCAATCGCGCTCCAATTGACGGCGCACGTGTGCGGACAGCGCTTCCATCTGCACGTCATCGCCAACGCGTGGAGGGTTGAATGCAAACTTTCCGCGCGTGTACTCCGACTGCGAGTATGTCTCCAGCACCTGCGTTGCTGCAATGTCAAAGCTTGGTCGCCGCGCCCGCCCTGTACGCAGATGAGGGAGGGAGAGAGGGAGTGTGTGGATGTGTGTGTGTGTGTGTGTGGATGTGTGTGCGTGGTTGTGAGTGTGTGTGGATGTGTTTGTGTGTGGACGTGTGCGTGTGTATGTGTGTGGACGCGCGCGTGTGTGGATGTGTGTGGATGTGCGTGGTTGTGAGTGTGTGGGTGTGTTTGTGTGTGGATGCGCGTGTGAGCGTGGGTCTGACAAACAATAGTGCATGTCACATGAATACGTTCTCACAGGCGAACACACACACATACGCACGCATAGAATAGCGTGCATGTGCACTGCACCACCAACCAATGCACACTGCTGCGTACCGTGTTGCTTGCCGGGCGTGTCCTGTGCCTGCGATGTCCCAGCATCACCCGTGGTGGGATGTGCCTTGCTCACCCCGCGTGCCGGTGGCCTTGGTGGCGGCTCCGTTGTTGTGCCGTCATGGTGCTCGCGGTGCTCGTGATTGCCCGCAGGTGTGTGCGTGGCAGCGCGCATTTGGCTGGCAGAGGGGCGGTGTGGCTTTGGCGGTGCGGGCACAGGCCCGCGCTTCTTGGCGGGAAGCAGCTGCCGTGGTGCAGGTGTCTCGCTTGCTGCTGTTGCTGATGATTGTGTTGTTTTTGTTGTGGCTGACGATGACTTTGGTGGGTGGCGTGGTGCTGCGGGTCGAGGAGGACGAGCCATGGCAGGATGCTGTTGTTGTTGCTGCTGTTGTGGATGCTCGAGGTGGGGGTGCGACGCGTGTGTGTGTTCATGTTCGTTCCCGCCGCCTGGGCCTGCGTGTCTCTGGTGCGGTTGTGGTGGTGTTGATGGCCGCCTTGGTGGCGTGCGCGGTGTTGGCTTTCCACCATCCCCAGCAGAGGTGGGACCCTCCTCACCAAACCCTATGAACCAGACCAAACACCCAACAACAAAAAATTATGTGCAGAGTCAGGGCATGCAAGTGTGTGTGTGTGTGTGTGTGTATGTGTGTGTATGTTGGGAGGGGGGCAAACGAACACGTCAAGCAAACGCACACGTCAAGCAACACAACATGCGCAAGACAACAGAGGGATATGACATCATGTTGTGTTGCGTGCGATGTGCCTACCCAACGCGCCAAGCAGACCCTTCGACTGCACTAGCTGCTCAAACTCATTCTCGTCTCTCTCCCGCAAGTTTTTCTGCCGTCAGCGTTTGTGTTGTTGTTGGGGGGATGGCGCGGGGGGCGAGGGAGTGCATGTGAGTGAGTGTGTGTGTGTGTGTGTGTGTGTGTGTGTGTGTGTGTGTGTGTGTGGGTGTGTGTAGGAGGATGACTAGGATGAGGAGAAGCGTTGTGGTGTCACCTCTTCTGGCTGTGGTGGTGGGGATGGCTGTGTTGCTGTTGTTTTTTGTATCTTCGTCGTCGTTGTCTACGATTCTGACCATGGTTGCTGCACAGGTGCGGCTTATCTTGTGCGCTACTTGGTGGCTTATGCAGTTTATCGCATAGATGATGGCCTTTTTTTGTAATCTTGTATTTTGGTGCTTTTCTTCTTATTTGTTTTTGCATGTTGCTTATTCTTTTGACCTGTCGCATGAATCGAGTCAAGCGTTGGCCACAGCGACTTGTACTGTATGCATAAGGGATATTCTTTTTTTAGTTTAATTATCACCGATTGCATGGTTTTGTCGATGAGTAGACGTCTCATTGTTTTGTCTATATGTCTGCTACCT